TAATATTATACCAGAAAAGAAGAAGACAACATTTAAATGCAGGAACGTGTTTCATTTGGTGTGCAAAATCCAAAGCAGACATTTATGTCAGTTTTGTTGCATCGTTTTCCTGTGGAGTGTGTGTGTTTGGCAGACACTTACAGCTATGTCTTGGCTGGCTGGCTGGCTACCTAGTAACTACTTGTTCCTCCCCCATGCAAAAATACCCTTTTTAGAGAAAAAAATTAGATTAGATTAAATTAAATTACCATGGTTATTGGATAATGAAATTCTTTGTTAAACCCTTGTAAGTAGTAGTATCTGAATGTTAAAAATGAAGGTAGATTGTTATGAGAGAAACTATGTGATGTTTTTGGAAAACTTTTGGAGTTTTAGTATTATTAACTACTCATTTGCTTGAGTTTATTTTTGATAAAAAAAACAATTGTACTATAAAATAACTATTTATATTAACACTTCTCTAAAATATGAAAACTCTAATCTGAACTTAAAAAATTTCCTAAATGTGATGGGACAGAGGATAGAGATTTCTGAATGATGCCTGAACTAGGTTTTTGGCTTTGTCCTTCGAAAGAAAAAGAGACAAATTAAAGTGAGAAAAATACCTTTCTGAGACTGCTGTGGAAATTTGCATGACGTGGGTTGCTGCCACATGTCACCAACATAGACATATATGCATGCAAATTTGTAACCATTAGCATTTGACAACAATCAAGTGGAAGTGTAAATTTATTTATTAATTCAGTAATAGTATTTGGTCACTGCTATTTACTCTTACTCAGACAAGAAAAGAAAAGGAGCATGATGATTAATAAACCAGCTGTTCCCTATATTTCGTTCTGAATAACAAAAACTGATATAAGTCACAATCATATAATTATTTAGAACCTCTCATTCTTAAGTTATTTTATTACACAGCTGCGTAGTGTGATTGATCTCTATAAATGTTAGTGATACATTATCTTATTTATTTCCTTTTAAGGGTTTTCAATGTTATCACGCAAAAAAAAATTGTACCATCAACCATTTATTTAGATTATAAACATGTAATTATCATACAAAGAAATGTAATTAGTTCAGATGATTTTTGATGTTTAATTTTCCAACAACTAAGAAATATTCAATCTTTTCAGTCCTCTTTGAGTGTTAGGTATCTTTAGATTTTATTGGAATATATAAGAAACTTACTTACAGTGTTTGGTATTGTGATTGTGTAAAGTTGTCTGTATATGGATTTAAAAGGGCTCGTCTCCACCTCCTTAAAAAGATGAAATATGTTTGTTCAATTTTACTTTACCTTTCTTTTACTCTGATGCTTACCAGTTGTACAAATTTTACACGTATAAAGAGACACGAAAGAATAATAAAGGTTCTTTTTCCATGAATGTAAAGTTAGATTAAAATAAGTAAATATTAAATGTATTATAAGTATAATGAATTTAAAATTTAAAATAGACTCAAATAACTATTTTAGAATATTTTTATCATTGTATCATTACAGTTTGAGTTATTTATTATTGCAAAAATATAATATTATAATGATATGTTTTTTTGGGTACATACAGGTGTATTGTTTGGATAAAGTTAGGTTAAAACAAGTGTATAGAGTTACAAGTTTTAAATGCATTTGTGCAAAGCCCTGCTGTAAATAAATAATGCATCTCATATTAAAAATTAAATTTTGAAATAGTATAACAAAAAAATGCCATGCAAAACACAGGTGTCTTTTTCCAGCAGAACCACGACAAAGGCAGAAAGAGTTCAAAAAGTGGATTCAGAATCATGAAAATCACCATATTCTGTTTAGAAAAGAGAAGTTTAATTTTTTAATAAGCTCTGTCTTTCAAAGTGTTATCACACCTAGAAACCAATACTATTTTAATTTTAACTAAAGAGAAATCCTAAACGTATCTAACCCTATACCACGAACACTTATTAAAATAGGACCCTGTTAACGAGAAATATTTTTTTAGACTTTTTAATGGCATATATTGTTTTTAATTCTAAAATTTTTATAATTTTTATAATTTTATAATTTTATAATTTTTAATTATCAGATACAATATACAAGGAATAGATAGAAGTTATAATATGAAGTACCCTTCGTGTCGATATAGTAGTAGTCTCTGGATTATGTGACTGCATATTATTGGTAATTTTTATATATCAAATAACAAAATAAAACATAATTTAAGTAAACCTCAGTGAAGACTAATATGGTCATAGGACTAATGCGGATTAACTTACCCATGCATGGTTCAATATTGAGATCACAGTGTCAATGATTCTTGTTCCGTGATTTGTTGATTGCATGTATCAGTGAATCAAGCTCTGGCAACTCTTGCATTCTTTGGGATGGGAGTGAACCTAGTGCTGTTTCTGACAAGGGTGGTAGGACAGAATAATGCTGATGCAGCTAACAATGTGAGCAAATGGACCGGAACAGTTTATATATTCTCTCTTGTGGGTGCTTTCCTCAGTGATTCTTATTGGGGAAGATATAAAACTTGTGCTGTTTTTCAGGTCATCTTTGTTATAGTAAGTAGCGCTCCATTTTCTCTCCTCTCATTCATAATCTTTCTCTTTAATTCCTAACTTTTACATTAACTACTTCACTAATCAACAAATCTGTTTGGCTTGACATAACAGGGTCTAATGTCCTTATCCCTGTCATCATACCTATTCTTACTTAAGCCTAAAGGTTGTGGGAATGAAACAATTCACTGCGGAAAACATTCAAGATTGGAGATGGGAATGTTTTACCTCTCAATATATCTAGTTGCCTTGGGTAATGGAGGTTATCAACCAAATATTGCCACATTTGGAGCTGATCAGTTTGACGAGGAGCACTCAAAGGAGGGTCACTCAAAGGTGGCCTTCTTTAGCTACTTCTACCTGGCTTTTAATATCGGCCAACTTTTCTCAAACACCATTCTGGTCTATTTCGAGGACGAAGGAATGTGGGCTCTTGGTTTCTGGCTGTCTGCAGGTTCTGCCTTTGCTGCACTGGTCTTGTTTCTTGCATGCACCTCCAGGTATAGACACTTCAAGCCCAGTGGCAACCCTCTTTCTAGGTTCAGCCAAGTCGTTGTGGCTGCATCAAGGAAATCCAAAGTTCAAATGTCATCAAAGGGAGAGAACTTACTTCACATGGATGCAAAGGAGTCTTTCACGAATGGAAACAGAAAGATTCTCCACACTCATGGGTTCAAGTAAGTAGTGGAGGTTCCTTTCAGCTGAAACTACACGTCGAATGTATTCATGTGTAGCTGAGGCTGCATGGAATGTTTTTCCTGTATTTTATTTCATGTGATCATTTTGCTAAAAATTAACACACATTTGATTTCCATTCCAGTACTGTTCTCCATTCTTGGTTGCAGTGAGTAATAACAGTTTGATCAATTTGCCATTTGTTACTGTATTACAGGTTCTTGGACAGAGCAGCATTTATATCTTCAAGAGATCTAGATGATCAGAAAGGGAACGGTTACAACCCCTGGCGTCTCTGTCCAGTAAGTCAAGTTGAAGAGGTGAAGTGCATACTGAGACTTCTTCCAATTTGGCTCTGCACCATAATATACTCTGTGGTTTTCACACAAATGGCTTCACTTTTTGTGGAGCAAGGTGCTGCCATGAAAACCACTGTCTCCAATTTCAGAATACCACCAGCTAGTATGTCCAGCTTTGATATACTCAGTGTGGCAGTTTTCATTTTCTTCTACCGCCGAGTTCTTGATCCGTTTGTGGGAAAACTCAAAAAGACAGATTCCAAGGGACTCACAGAACTTCAGAGAATGGGAGTTGGACTTGTTATAGCAGTACTGGCAATGGTTTCAGCTGGATTAGTTGAATGCTATAGACTTAAGTACGCAAAACAAGGATGCCTCCACTGCAATGACACAAGCACTTTAAGCATCTTCTGGCAGATCCCTCAGTATGCATTTATAGGAGCTTCTGAGGTTTTTATGTATGTAGGCCAGTTGGAGTTCTTCAACGCTCAGACACCAGACGGCTTAAAGAGCTTCGGAAGTGCACTTTGCATGACATCCATTTCTCTTGGGAACTATGTGAGTAGCTTACTAGTTAGTGTGGTTATGAAGATATCCACCGAAGATCACATGCCAGGGTGGATCCCTGGAAACCTCAATAAAGGCCACTTGGATAGGTTTTACTTCCTCTTAGCTGCCTTGACGTCCATAGATTTGATTGCCTATATTGCATGTGCAAAATGGTACAAGTGCATACAGCTAGAGGAGAAAAGTGGTGAAAGTAATGAGTCAAAAGTATAATTTGCAGGGGATATCAATCAAAGGCCATGGGTACCACATATATTAATAAGAGAAAGAAAGGGAAACTAGTCAAATATAATCTTGGTTCTATTGTTACAGTTGGAAGAAATAGTTTGCAGGTTTGCAGAAAGTGAAACCCTTCTTACATGAGTTTCTGACTCTCTTACAACTTGACTCTGTATTTTTAATGCATAAACCCTTGAAGCCAAGTTGTGTAAAACAAAAATTTGATGAGACAATGACTGTTTTAGGGTACTTAGACATTTCCTTTCTCTCATTTGTAAATGCCATTTTAAAGACGAAGTTAACTCTGCTATGTGGATTTCCTTGTATTTATCCCAGAGCTAACACAAAAATTTAAGTCCTTAATGTCTGGTACTCATGAACAAACAATGCAATCACCCATAAAGGCAATAATTTCGAAACAGAGAAAGAGAAAATTTTACAAAACACTTTCTAATATATTTAGATTTAGCTGATCGAATTAATCAACCAAAGAATTTGCAAACTGGCAGTGGCAGACCAAATATTATCATGTGGACAAACAAAGAATTATGTATAAGATCAAAAGAACAGCATAAAGCGATAACTTATTGCTGGCAATTATTTGTCAGAATTTTTTTTTTTACAATATCACTTAAAAAAAAGAACAAGAGAACAATAACACGTGATTAAAGAAATTTACAACAACTCCCCCAGCAGTGACTCATTATTAGGAAGATTTGCTGTAGCAATCAGAGGAATTAACAGGCAATACTTACAGTCCACAGAATCAAATTTTACATAATCGAAATGGGAATAAGGTGAAAAAGTAGGGCATAACAAATAATTGTTCTTCTGTATTCTTTTGTTTTATTTATTTATGTGTGTGTATGTAATGTCATCTTTCAAACGTATAGACCAAAAAATGGGAAAGGTAAAACGGTTGAAACAAAAAAATATACAAGTTAATTGTAAGGGTGAGCCAGTGCACGAGTTCCCAAGTCATAGCGATATAGGCATAATAAGGGTCAGAAGACAGCATTACATAGCCTTACCCTCGTGAGCCAAGAGGAACTCTGCCCAATTATCATATAAAATCAAATAAACACATTCCACCATGGTTGCGCAAACAGCAAAGGTCAACGTTTATTCTTTCAGCCAAGATAAAATATCAACACGACATATTAACAAAATAGATAGTTATAAAAGAACTTTAAGGAGAATACTGAAATTCCTGATCAATAAATATTTGCATTTTGAAAATGACTTTACAATCCAACCTTGTTGTTTCAAGTACATAATAGCCATAGGTATTATTGAAAGTAAGAATAACTATGATACTGAAGAAGAAAAAAAAATCTGTACAACTACGAGTAACAAAGACCCTTCATAAAATTTTATTCATGAACCTTACGAACTTGTATGTGGTGAGTGGATTCCTCACGCCATATTGGTTGTGCTCCACTTTGAACAAGTGTAACATGCTGTCCCTCGTGTAAATGACCCTTACTCTGAAATATGGAGACTTTTCATAAACTGTTCAAAAGAAAAAATATCAAGAAAAATAATATGTCTGAGCACTTGATGGAGATATTACTAACCAATAGTAGCTCGAGGGCTCTAGAGAAAGTCTCCTCTGCATCATTTGAAAATTGCATGTATATAGGCACAACGCCATGATAAAGTGCCAACCTCTGCTTAATCCTTGTTCTGCGAATAGTGAAATCATAAATTTGTGGGTGCAATAGTGCATTAACTTAAGCACCTATACTGCCCTCCAAAAATTAGAAAGCGGAAAAAGAAAAAAAATCACTGCCTGTGTTGACATTCAGATTCCTAGTTTCATTTCTTCTTCTTCTTCTTAATGTATAGCTTTACTTTTAGGGGTGGAGGGGTATGTATGAGAAAAATAGCCTCTAACATGTAAGCATAACAACATCATTTTAGAAAAAAAAAAAAACAAAAAAAGGAGAGGGTGAGGGGCTTCCATCTTCGATAGGAGAAAAATTCATCGTGCAGGATTCTGTGAAAACTGAACAGAATGGTCAAATGTGATAAAGAAAAAATATTATAGGAGATTAATTTTGATAAAGAGAAAAATACTTGTCCAATAAATCATCCTTAGTTCACATACAAAACCTCAAGCACGATAAATTTAATTAATTGGATAATCTGTAAAATACTTGAGTTGGCAAGAGAGAAGCTAGCTTCTCTCAAGATAATACATAGGCTCAAAGCCCATGAAATTAGCTATTTCCTTTCCAAATATTAAATAAAAGCACTCCTCCTGAAAAAGTCCATCAAGAAAAGTTTTTTTTTTTTTCAGGTTAGTTGTATAAAAATTAATAGTACATTAACACAGAAAATACATACGCATTTGCAAATGCAAACATAACTGAGTAAAGTATATAAGGCTAAAAAACAACAGACACACAAACATGTATAATTCTGCCAATGCTTACTCATTTGTGAATGCAAAGATTGTTGAGTAAGGCCTATAATGGCTCAATAGAGTAGCCATGGATCCTGTTCTGGTGAAAACAATAATGGGGGTATTAAGAGTGTTAGACATTGTTGTCGCATGGAAAGCAAACATTTCTCCCATGTGGCTCTGTCAAAAAGTAAACACAAATTAGTTAGAGTTTAGTATATCATCAATGTACAATTAAATATATCAATAATAAATGAAACAAAACTCCAAAAGTGCCTAATATTTAATCGCGCACTTACTTTATGGGAACTCAGACTTGGACAAGCAGCACCGCTTTCAACACTGGATTCGTTCCTAAGAGCCACCGTATGCATAACTTTAACAGCTTTCAAAGGAAATCTGAAGCAGATTAAGTTATATTTATTTATTTAAAATATTGAAAGAAAAAGGTATATTAAATCGTAAATTCATGACCCCAAGACAAGGTTAGGCGTTCTTATGTAACCGAGTTAAAGAAAAGGGATGAAATACATTTTCAAATGAAAAGCAATTCTATAGTAATTACAACACTCAACATGCTGGAAAAATAGGGATCTGTAGCCATTTTATTTTCCTTCCTGAAAAACATTGCACTCCACAAAATAAAAAAGATAAGTCTCCCAATCATAAGCAGCTGAAAATCATTTAATAATGCAAATTATTGAACAGTAATGGATTAGGAAGATTCCAATTATAGAGAATCAAGGTAACTAATTCCCCTTTGTTTAACATGCATAGGGATTAATAGGCTTTGTTTAATTTAGATTCATTCCTATTTGTTATTATTTTTAGGTTTCTCCTAAGCGTATCCTCCATTTGTATATCTGTCATTCTCTTCTCTAATGATGCTTCTTCTTTTATTTGAAAATAGTAAAATATGGATACTGAAAAGAAGTTCGAACAACTTAAAAAAAATAGGAAACAAGTTCACCAAGTAATAGCAAACTGACTTTCCGTGTGCAGTTTCCCCTGAAAGCATGATAGCATCAGCACCTTGTCTTACTGCGATTGCAATGTCCGAGACTTCTGCCCTTGTGGGCGTGGGATGATTAATCATGCTTTCAAGCATATTTGTTGCCACAATAACTGGCTTTTGCATGCTTTGACATCTCCTTATGATGTCCTCCTACTCGATTAAAAAAAGGTAAGAACTACATTGAACAGAGAATTAAGCATAGTAAAAGAAAACTAATATAGTAGAGAACAAAAACATCAGTTTGAAACTAGTATCTCATAATCTAGTTTGTGTAAGTTATAACAGGAGCTGAGATAAGTGGGTCATAATAAGAATATAATCTTCAAGCAACTTTACTCTCTTGTGCGCAAGGAAGCATCAGAGGAAAGGAAAAGATTTTCTCTTCTGAAATTCTATTTCAGTTTATTGGTTTGTTGCAATAGCCACAAATAAGCACTTTCTTTTATAGGTAAAAAAAGTTTTAATTATAGAAGATTAAGACAACAAATCTTAATGCCAAAATAGTATTACAAGCTCCCAGAAGTTGGCAGTAAAGCAGAAATGATCTGCTTTTCTCTAATCTCAAGTTACCAGCCTTTCATATTGCAATTTGTCTCACTAAAATGTGTTACAGTAAGCCTTGTGTAGTAGGTGTTGCAGCTTGCACTGTAGGCACCACCAATTTTAGAAGTGCTTAGCTAAAGTAGGATCAAGACATAGCAAGAAACAAGAGAAAAATGATTTCGAAGTAAAAATTAGATAAGATATCATACCACAGGTTTATAAGTTTAAATATTTGGTTTCCATTTTGCAAAATTATAGGGAAACTAATGAAGAGGTCATGCACAAGATACAAATTAGATATTAAAATGGAGAAAGGCGTTGAGGGTTGTTTGAATTGCAAAGGACCTGTCAAGCACAAAGGAAAAGTTTATCATATTGCTAGACATCTGACTAAAATCTATGTAAAAGGTGTTAGGCTTCAAAGGGACAACAAAGAAAAAATGAGTAACACTGTGGCATAAATGAGAATGTTAAGATACATTATACACAAGAAAGGGTAATATATGAAATCATTGTATATGAGAAGGCATTGGAGTGATACCAATTGATGAAAAGGGGATAAAATCAATTAAGGTGGTTTAGACATGTACAAATAAAGGTCACTGGAAGCACCAATGAGGAGACTAGATGACATGAAGTCCTATGAAAAGAGGGAGAGAAAGACCAGGGACATTAGAGGAAGTTCTTAACAAATATCTCATATGATGAATAATATTTCAAGGAATTTACTCTTTAACCATGTCCAATGCTGTAGCGTGAATCATGTAGTTGAAGTTATCTAGAGGGAAAAGACTTATGTTTTTGTTCTTAAGTGGTGCCAACAATTTGTTGGGGAAAACATTCCCTTCACGCATAATGAGTATCAAAGGTATGAAACACACAAAGTAACACCACAAATGAAAAATAATGAAATACATGGATTTATGTGGTTCAACACCTTTTGCTCACATCACCATAACCATCTCAAAAGTATTTCATTCATCACAACACAACACATTACATGTCTTCTGGACAAATTTGAGAAACGCTTCCAAATACCAGACCACCCTCTCTCACCTAGGGTGGTATTCCCTCTTTCTAGGTCAGGTGTATCTTCTCCCTACACACACTCACTTTATGTATAAATAAATTTACATCATCATGAATGAGACCAAGTGGACAACTCCACTTTCATTATGGTAGTAGATTCTCCAATGGTCAAGAAACATGCACCTTTTGGCTTCCCACCTAATTTCATTAATGTTTGGAAATTTGGATTTATTTTTCCAACATAAATTTTACAGATTCATATGCCTACAAGGGTTCTTTATATCATATGGTGGATAAGATATCCTTTGATATCTAATGACCTCCTTCATAAACACATGGGGTAAAAATGAGTAAGATGACTAGTATATAAGTAGAAAGGCCAATAATAAATTCATTGCCTAAAGGCCAATAATAAATTCATTGTCTTAAGGTTTTAGGTTGGAAGTGGTGTCCTAGTAGCTTGTTCATGACTCATTGATATCAAATCTACAGGTTTACGACAATTAATGCACACGACTAGCAGTATGGTCTTACGAATTAAAATTCACAACAATTAATGTAGCTCCTCTTATTTTGTTAGATTTTCCCAGTTATACTAAACATTGCATCCTGACTTAAATGTACCATAGCAATGATTATCAACATAGATCAGCTGATGAAAGAATTTGCAAACATCTCACCAACTGTGAACAAAGTGACGTATGTATCATGTTAGTGTGAGCATCACATTACCTGCAATAAAGGAACTTCCTCTATTGGAAGTTCAGCTCCAAGATCCCCACGAGCAACCATGGCCTGCGAAATAAAACTCTCAAAATGAAACTGGATGCCAATGTAGATAAAGATCTTGATTCGATCCATGATATTGAATAACACTAAAAAAAGTATCCAAAATATAAACTGTGAAGGTGTTGAAAAACCTACATCAGGTTTGGGCCAGCTCGAAGTAATGGTGAAATCAGTTCTATGTTAATGTTTCACCACTAGGTCAAAAGATATGCAGTAAATTTTCTTAATTAGGCATTTTGTCAAATAAATTCAATTCTATTTGTTATTAAGTCTAAAGGAATCTACTATAAATGTATGCCTTGAAAATGATATTGTCTATAAGGTATTCGTAATGTTAATTATGAATATTAAAGGAGAGAGATCATCAGTATGCTTACAAAAACTTAATAGAACAATCTCCACTAAACCAAGTTCTTTGATATTTTCATATGTAAATCAAGAAAAATAATTATCAAGCAATAGTGCACAAACAAGCAAGCACCACAAAACCACCTTTTCCCCTGGAATTACTCAAGCATTGTATATCCTATAATGAAAGAATTGCCACCATGACATGATCGCCATAGGTTTCAGAACAGATATCATGTGAGTGCAATACCAAGAAAGGGGGAAACTAAGGTAACGGCTAATCAATCCATAATCAGCTCAAGATGCAATTACGTTCCTCTTATATCCTACATAGAATATTAGACACGTATCTTCCTTAGATTTTGAAGAGTACAATTGACAGCCTAATCAACCTACAACCAGAAACAGCAAAGTCGTTACTTAAATTTGTGCATTATACAAGGATTAGAAGAATTTTCAAGTCCTCTCGTAGAAATAATGAGTTGATTAACTTGAAATGTTCCATTTTTTAGTTTCTTTTTTCACATACTATTTTCACATGAAGCATAGAACTTCTATACATAGTATTTATCCATTCCTCCATGTGATCAATTCCAGTTCTCGTATATTAAATACTAACTAGACCAAAATAAATAAATAAAAACATATAGACTAAAACAATATTGATCACCAACATAATCTAAATTTCAATCCCTTTTAACTGAAAGTTATTGAAGGTATGAAATATCTACAAATACATGATCTGAACATTATGAAACTAACCCCATCTGAAGCAGAAAGTATGGAATGAAGATTTGGTATGGAATCTGCACTTTCAATTTTTACAATCACGTGTATATCAGCATTATGACCTATAGAAAAAGGTTTACAATAATTTAGTTGGTAATGAGAATGATGGGGCCCATAATCAGCGTCATGAGAAATAATGTATTACTAAATATTGAATATAAGTCTAATAATAATGGTCATGATGGCAGTTATGGGTATAAGCTAGGAGCAATAACGTAGTATTATCTATTAGAACATGTAATAGTGTTACAAAACAACTTGTCCCGCATTAGTTGTTCCATATTAAAATTAGAAACTGCCTCTCTGACAGTTGTTTTGAATATAATTTAATGTTGAAACAGAAATCACATACAATACATTCACTTTCTACAGATAGTACTCTCTGTCCACAACAGCAAATAACAACACCTTATGACTCGTTAGGACCTAACTCAAACCAGCTTTTAAGGCACATAGACACCCTATAATATTTCACTCAACTTTCTCGTTAGTTCAAATTGTGTGTCAGTATACTAATGATAATAAGTACTCCGACACATGGGGTACAAACAAACACTTACATACTCTACCAAGCAACAAATACAATCCAATATGATACTTAGAAATCCCATAATAATACTCAGGTCTCTATCAACTACCAAAGCTTTATAAACTTTAAGTCACATGTGTAGTCGACAAAGGACTAAACACCACCCTGGCCAACAACTAAGACAACTCCCAGAAGAGCCAACACGGAGGTGGGATAAGGCTGACCACAGTTCGGGTGGGTGACAGTAGTTAAAGGGGATTTCCGACAACTGTTATGACTACACTAATATCTAATAATACATGGTTGTACATGATTATTGGTTCCCATTAGAGAAGCAATAAACACCAAGAGAGAAGGAACTTCCACACATATGCACAAAGCCACACATCTAGATACAAAAGCATAACAAGGAAATTAGACATCTAAAATATTACTTTTGAGGTACTCTTTTAACTCGTGCACCACTCTAGCATCCTTGACAAATGAGACAGCATAGAAGTCTACTTGATTGTCCACCCCAAACTTGATATCTTCCCAGTCCTTGTCTGTGAAGTTGAAACACAACAAAGTGTAAAATTGTCAAGTGCATTTGCATTCTAAAAGTAACCAGGTACAAGTGAATTACAGAAACTTGTTGCCCATGTACAGTGTCAACAATAAATAGAACAGAAATATACCAGTTATGGAAGGAAGTGTAGCACTTTTTCCACGGACATTTAAATGACGCCTAGATTTCAGTTCACCACCATCAATTACCTCACATTTAACCAAGTCTTTTGTCTTTGACTTTACAGCAAGAGACATCATTCCTCCTAAAACAATAACCAGACCAAATCTTCTTTTGAGATAATCAAATTGGTGATCATCAAACAATGCAATAAGCTCCCCTAAAATACCGAGATTATAAAAAATAAATTACTGAAATAGGAGGAACATCTTCCTGGTAGCTCATACATGGTTAACAATCAACCACGAGAATAAGTCACAAACCTTGTGGCTAATCGAGCAAGATAACACAAACAACAATATTCACAAATAAGAAATCATTGTTCTTACCATCAACCAACAACACATCTCCAACCTCCACATCATTCACAAAATCATCATAATTCACGCTAACTGTGCTTTCCGTGCTGACCCCTCTCCTGGTGGTGAAATAGAATTCTTGCCCCTCTTTAAGTGAAATTGGTTGAGGCACATCCCCGCTTCTAACTTCAGGACCCTGTGAAGCAAGTCATATGACATCCGTTCTGTCTTCAAATCCAAAATACAAGTTTAAATATGGAAATTGAAATTCAGTAACAACGGCAGCGAGTTTTAACTTTGATGCTTACAATGAAGTTGAAAGTGTTCAGAGACAAAATTTGGTCGAGCTATATTGTAACTCTTTTTACAGAGTCTGCTATCTTCTATGTTTTGAGTCTGTAGAACTCCGTCTTGAGGGGTTATAGTTTAGAGGTCATATACATATAACACCCTTCTTTCTCTGAATAAAAAGAGTAGTGAGGCATTGACCTTTACCCTCTACAACTGTTAGTGTTGAGAGTGAGAGCTTACCAGTTTCAAATTAATTCTGACAATTTGGTATTAGTTAGTCAGGAGACCACAAAGGAGCTTAAAACATGGATTCTATGGGAACTAGGTAGATTCTCTAGAATTAACACAAAAGATCCTTACAGGCATTACAACAATGATTGAGGGGTTAGTTTCATCTATGGCAGCATTGAACTCAGGCCAACAAATTTCAATTACACCAATATCATATCAAGATTCACCAGAATTCTCTTCAGTGATTCTTGACAGAACTCAGCTGCAATTCGCATCTTTTGATGGTACCAACTTTTGGGAATGGTGTGCTAAAGCTGAACAATTTTGAGTTGGAGGGCAGACCTGTTAATCAATGTGGCATTTGCTGCTTCTTTCTATGAATGGCAAGGCACTCCCATGACAATGCCATTATATTCAAACCACCAATTTCCAGTAATCCTCTTAGCAGTAAAAAAAGTGGCAACATTACTTCCTAGATCAACATGTAATTATCAAAACAGACCAGAAAGCTCTTAAGCATCTTTTGGAACAACCTCCGACACACGTATGCACAGTTGGGGAATGGAGAAAGTAACAGGATTAGTCTTCAAGGTTGAACATAAGAAAGGAAAAGATAATGTTGCAGCCAAAACTTTATCAAGAAAGGAATGTCAGGGTACATTAGCGACAATCTTAATAGCAAAAGGAAAAGAATCATGGAAGGTAGATCACAAATTACAGAAGACTGTAGATACCATTCACATGACACAACAGCCTTGCAAGAACTTTGGATGGTGAAGCTCTCAAAAGATAAGGCAAATTGGTGGTAGGTAATGATGTGGATTTGAAGTCTCAAATCCTTTAACAATTTCAACGACTAAACTTTTGGGGGTCATTCAGGGTATGGATTAACTTACAGAAAAATTAAAGAACAATTCTATTGGAAAGGCATGCAAAAGGAAGTGAAAAGGTGAGTGAAACAATGTCATATATGTCAGAAAAATAAACCCTTCAGTTACCTGCTAGTATTTTACAACCATTAGCTATATGTACGGATTTTATTATCGGTCTTCCTAAAATCTAATTCTATGACTGTTATTTTTGTTATCATTGATCAATTAACTAAGCATGCTCATTTTTTGCATCTATCTCATCCTTTTTGAGCTGCAAAAGTCACAAAAGTCTTTATGGATAATGTTGTCAAATTACATGGATGGCCTAGGTAGATAATTTCAGATAGAGACTCAATCTTTATGAGTCAGTTCTGGATTGAATTGATGCAGATGCATGGCGTCAAGCTGCTGCAGTCTACTACTTTCTATCCTCAAAAGGATGGCCAAATTGAGCCTTTGAACAAGTCTATAGAAGCTTATCTCAGACGTGTTTCGGGGGATATGCTTCACAAATGGGTTATTTTTTATCGTTTGCAGAATTGTGGTATATTATCAAGTTTCACACAGTCACTCAGTGAACTCCATTTGAAGCTCTCTATGGTTACTCGCCTGCTCCCCCATCTACGATAATGAATAAGGATCAGATGGTGGAAGCTGTAAATTAAACGATCAAGACTAGGGAAGAAATCTCTCAGCTGCTACAAGTAAATTTGATCAAGGCACAAACCAGGATGAAGTGCAAGGTATTATGTTATCTTGTATGTTTTGAGTCTGTATGGGGAGAACATAAAGAGTAGTGAAGCATTGACTTTTATCCTCTACAACTGTTAGTGATGAGAGTGAGAGCACACCAGATTAAAATTAATGGTGACATGCAAAAACGGCGAAAACGGAAGTTAGATACGAAGGAGTTGACCTTGGTGTCGAGCATGATGGCCACGACCTTATCCTGAAACTGAGCATTGTACTCTCTCACCAATTCAATAGTCTGCAGGTGCGAGGCGTGGTCCCCGTGCGACATGTTCAAACGCGCCACGTTCATTCCGGCTTCAGCCAGGCCCCATATCATGTCACGTGAGCTCGTGGATGGACCTATCGTGCACACGATCTTAGTTTTCTTACGCGCCTCGGAATTCGGTCCTGCCTGTCCCACGCCATGATCACTCACCTGAACCTCGAACGAAGAGTTTGCGTTGCCCTACGCAATGGATTGAAGAGCACAGAGAGGTTAGAGATAGCGAAGTGAGATTAGTTTGCGGAAATTACAGGTGACTTACGACGGAGGGAGAGCCGTTGGAGGAGTTAATTTGGGTCGGTTGGGCGTGGTTTGCTAGAATGGTGATTTTAGGGATTCGTTTGGTTCTGCGTTTGGAGGGAGAGAGTTCGGATTGGAAGAGCAGGGAAGTTGCTGAAGAAAGATGAATGGTTGCCATGTTTATTGATTGAAATTGAAATGAAGATGAAGATGACCTGCTTTTGGTTGCAGCAAAATAAACAACTCTCTCCTTTATTTTATTTGTTGCAGTTCCAACCAACCAGGTTCCATTGGCGCGTGGTGTTAGGAAATAGCCATTATCTTTCAGTATTACTGCACAGAGCTGGCAGCATGGCAACACATTCTCTCACCGCATATGTTTGCAGTTAAAATATCTTGTGTACTAAGATATCTTTAACAGATTTTTATCGATAATGAATGAGGTTAATGGACAGGGTGTATAATTACGAAATTCAACTTATGAATAATTGTTACTTCATAATAACTACTAAAATTTTTTTGGTTTAATTAAGTTTTGAATATTGATGAATTTAAAAAATTTCAATTAAATTTTTATTAATTTTATTTATAATTTATTAAGTTTTTAAAATTTTAAAATTGAATTATTGAAGTTAGATAATTTTATTAATTATTTTGTATTCGTCACTATAAAATTAAAAACAATTACGTGACAAGTAAATCTTCGATATCTTGTAACTAATATTGTGATTTAATATTTAAGCATAACATAATAATTTTAGATAATTGTTACCTCACATAATTAATAAAAAAACTTACTCAAATTTTGATTGAGTCTAAATTTTATTTGAATATATTTTTAAAATTTAAGTAATTAAAATAAAATATTAATTATTAAACAAGTTATTCAAAATTTAATTTTATACATTTTTATTTAGATTTATGAAATTAAATTTACTTTTTAAAATACTAATTTTTCAAAATTTATATTTTGATGAAACTTTTTATATTTATATTTTAGAAGATAAAATTCATTCACATTAATATTTTAATGAATAATTTAATTTGAATTATGTTTTAAAACTAATTTATTTTCAAAATATATATTTTAAGGACTTATTTTAAAGTAATTTATTTAAAATTTAGAAAGAATATATAAAAATATCTGTAGATTTCTATAATATGAAATAAAACTGAATATTTGTTAACAATATCTGACAAATATGAGAACGAATGAAGAGTTTATCCAGTAGAATAAACAATAATGTATATGCAAAATTACTAAAATATATAACACATTTGCTTGACTGTATGCCCAAAATTTTTATTTTTTTTTAAGTGATAAAGAATAAATAAAAGTAATTTCAGTTATTGATTCCTCGAAAAAAAAAGTAATTAAATTGTTGATAAAAGAAAGCCAAAGATTAGTGTTTGGCCCAAAGACGAGATCGGTGGTCGTCATCTTCTGTCTGTTGCATAGCACGGTGGTTGCAGCAACACCACCCCATCACTCACTATGAAGCTGTCCTTGAAGTTCCAGGGTGATGAAAACCACCACGAACACAGCGAACAAATCATGACGGCGAAGGTACCCATGACTATACTGAACAAGCCCTTTCTTTCAGCCGTCACCGCCACCACCGCCACCAACTCCGTTTCCGAGTTTTCCTTCTCACTCTCTTCAAACTTCACATCAGGCCCATCCCTCAAAGTCTCTTACACGCCCACCGCCTCTCAACCCTTCTCCCTCTCTCTCAAGTCGGGCCTGGGCCTCTTGGGCTCACCGGCCCACTCCCCTCTCGTCTTCTCCGCTAACTTCTCCCTATCCCCAACCCCGACCCCTTTTTTCTCTCTGCAATTCAAACCCCAATTCGGCCACTTCTCTCTCCACAAAACCGTTTTCTCCGATACCCCACCACCCCCTTCTCCTCTCCCTCCCACACCTCAAATTGTGTCCAACGAATCTTCCTCGGGTTGGCAGAATCTGAAATTGGAACCGTTCGATAACAGAGACCAATCACACCCTAACATTTTGGAAAACTCTAAGAACGATGCAAAGCACAGTCTCTCTCCTGTCATTAGGGTTATGGCTCGGACGGTGGTGCCTGTTACGAAAGGTTTCTTCTTGAACTTCCGCTGGGGGGTGAATTTTCCCCGGAATTTCAGTTCGAAAATGCCGAGCTTAACCGTGAATAAGATTGGGTTAGAGAGGGTTGAGGATGGGAAAGAGAGTAATAATAATGATAGTCAGAAAAAAAGGGTCAGTTCTGAAATTGATTTGCAGCTGTTGAAGGAAATGTGTTTTTGGATGGGGAGAGATTTGGAGAATGTGGAGATGGAAAATAGTGAGATGAAAAGTGTATTGGATGAGATGAAAATGGGAATTTCCACCGCCAGAAAAGAAGTGGTGCTGCAACCAAGCAGAGTGAGTGAAACCTCTTCTGGGGAGTTGCAGCGTCGAAGAAGTTACAAGAACGGCAGACAAGAGGATGAGAAAAAAGTGCAGCCAAACAAATCGCAGAGTGTGGCCACTGACGTGGAATCTGAGTTGCAGAAAGCCATTAAGGCTGCTACCTCTTAGCAAGGTCAAGGTTGTTGGCTGTTACCACTTTTTTATTATGCTTTCAATGTTTGCCTGCCTTGCAATGTGTATAAAATCTCAGCTTTTCTTTCTCGTTTCTTAACAATTACCGATTTTGTTTATTGTTACATGTTCACTTATGTGTATGGCAAAGGATGAGGGAAATCTTGGTTTTTTTGTAACTGTACTTTGTAATCTTATCATTATTTTTGCGTTTAGATGGATACACAATATAAATCAACTGTCTGTGACCAGGCCATATTTAGTAATATAGAGAGAGAGAAAGAGACCTTCACTTCATAATACATGGTGTGGATCCAAGATTACGGCGGCGTCATGAAAAACTGAAAGTAACTCTGTGTTGTTGTAGTATTTCAACATGGAAAATCTGAATTGATTTTGGAAAAAAAAAATGCTATTAACTGTTACTAAATGACTGTTTAGTTTTCTGGGTATGAATCAATCACAGCTCTCCTGCAACTGAAAGGTTGTCTGGTTGCTTATTTCATTAGGTGATTACCACACACACCATTCCAATTTCTGATATAAGAACTATTTCCCGTAGTTATCTATTCTTTCGGTAGCAAACCTGTTGGGTGAAACTGTTTGGCGTATTCATGATGATAATTATGTTAGCAGTAGTTTGCAATAATGAGTTGTTAATTTGATCAATCAGTGTCTGCCTTGCTTTGGACCCTGCTTTTCCTTCTCAGTTCATGCAAATTTTATTGAGCTCCCACACGCTTGACAGTGATAACTGAACCAAGCCAGTGTGACGTTGAACACTGAGAAAACTACTCAAAGGATTGGNTTAAGTTTTTAAAATTTTAAAATTGAATTATTGAAGTTAGATAATTTTATTAATTATTTTGTATTCGTCACTATAAAATTAAAAACAATTACGTGACAAGTAAATCTTCGATATCTTGTAACTAATATTGTGATTTAATATTTAAGCATAACATAATAATTTTAGATAATTGTTACCTCACATAATTAATAAAAAAACTTACTCAAATTTTGATTGAGTCTAAATTTTATTTGAATATATTTTTAAAATTTAAGTAATTAAAATAAAATATTAATTATTAAACAAGTTATTCAAAATTTAATTTTATACATTTTTATTTAGATTTATGAAATTAAATTTACTTTTTAAAATACTAATTTTTCAAAATTTATATTTTGATGAAACTTTTTATATTTATATTTTAGAAGATAAAATTCATTCACATTAATATTTTAATGAATAATTTAATTTGAATTATGTTTTAAAACTAATTTATTTTCAAAATATATATTTTAAGGACTTATTTTAAAGTAATTTATTTAAAATTTAGAAAGAATATATAAAAATATCTGTAGATTTCTATAATATGAAATAAAACTGAATATTTGTTAACAATATCTGACAAATATGAGAACGAATGAAGAGTTTATCCAGTAGAATAAACAATAATGTATATGCAAAATTACTAAAATATATAACACATTTGCTTGACTGTATGCCCAAAATTTTTATTGTTTTTTAAGTGATAAAGAATAAATAAAAGTAATTTCAGTTATTGATTCCTCGAAAAAAAAAGTAATTAAATTGTTGATAAAAGAAAGCCAAAGATTAGTGTTTGGCCCAAAGACGAGATCGGTGGTCGTCATCTTCTGTCTGTTGCATAGCACGGTGGTTGCAGCAACACCACCCCATCACTCACTATGAAGCTGTCCTTGAAGTTCCAGGGTGATGAAAACCACCACGAACACAGCGAACAAATCATGACGGCGAAGGTACCCATGACTATACTGAACAAGCCCTTTCTTTCAGCCGTCACCGCCACCACCGCCACCAACTCCGTTTCCGAGTTTTCCTTCTCACTCTCTTCAAACTTCACATCAGGCCCATCCCTCAAAGTCTCTTACACGCCCACCGCCTCTCAACCCTTCTCCCTCTCTCTCAAGTCGGGCCTGGGCCTCTTGGGCTCACCGGCCCACTCCCCTCTCGTCTTCTCCGCTAACTTCTCCCTATCCCCAACCCCGACCCCTTTTTTCTCTCTGCAATTCAAACCCCAATTCGGCCACTTCTCTCTCCACAAAACCGTTTTCTCCGATACCCCACCACCCCCTTCTCCTCTCCCTCCCACACCTCAAATTGTGTCCAACGAATCTTCCTCGGGTTGGCAGAATCTGAAATTGGAACCGTTCGATAACAGAGACCAATCACACCCTAACATTTTGGAAAACTCTAAGAACGATGCAAAGCACAGTCTCTCTCCTGTCATTAGGGTTATGGCTCGGACGGTGGTGCCTGTTACGAAAGGTTTCTTCTTGAACTTCCGCTGGGGGGTGAATTTTCCCCGGAATTTCAGTTCGAAAATGCCGAGCTTAACCGTGAATAAGATTGGGTTAGAGAGGGTTGAGGATGGGAAAGAGAGTAATAATAATGATAGTCAGAAAAAAAGGGTCAGTTCTGAAATTGATTTGCAGCTGTTGAAGGAAATGTGTTTTTGGATGGGGAGAGATTTGGAGAATGTGGAGAGGGAAAACAGGGAGATGAAAAGTGTATTGGATGAGATGAAAATGGGAATTTCCACCGCCAGAAAAGAAGTGGTGCTGCAACCAAGCAGAGTGAGTGAAACCTCTTCTGGGGAGTTGCAGCGTCGAAGAAGTTACAAGAACGGCAGACAAGAGGATGAGAAAAAAGTGCAGCCAAACAAATCGCAGAGTGTGGCCACTGACGTGGAATCTGAGTTGCAGAAAGCCATTAAGGCTGCTACCT